AATTTTCATATAATTTTTAATTTAATCAGCTTCAGAAAAATAGAATTCTTGATTTGCGGGAACGAAGTATTTATAATAAAAGCTGTTGTTATGTTTTGCGTTAATTTATTTTCTAACACACCTAACATTTTTACATTAAATTTATTAAGATGTTTTAGTAATTTTATTAAAATGAAACTATAAATGTGATGATACTATGAGATATTAAAAAATGCACAGTCTACAAATTATTTTGTAATTCAATGTTTTAATAGTAGCCATATATTGAACGATAAGATCACATGAACAATAACCTTTAAGAAAAAGCATATTTTCTTTTTTGCTGCCTACTAACTTTATTATCTACTTTTCTAACTTATTCAGCCGAAAAATTAATTGACAGTAATTAATTGGTATACTTGATTAGAAATTAATTTTGTATATTGATGTCTTATAATATTTCTGATATTTTTTAAAATTTCTATTATTTATTGAAGATAATTAAACATATAGAGTTCATTTCAGTTATAATATCACTAATCTCTATTAAACAGCCTTGTTTTTCCTTATATCGTTAATTTTCTCTCTTCTATTAAATCCTGAGCGACAATTAAAAATTTTAATTAAAATTTATAAGCTGTCTTTTAAGATATCTACCATCTAATTTCTTCTTTTGTCAAGTATAACGGTCCTAAAGATGCTTTCAATTTTTAATGAATGTTTATTAATATTTCAGATATTTTTTTGTTATTTTTTATCATATTTTATAAATGAATCTTCTTAATTAATTAAATAATTAAAATTTTAGAACGAGATTGCATTTAATATTTCAAATATTCATAACTTAATTAATCATGAATTAAAATAGTAAAATTGTAAATTAGTCCAGAATTTGGGATCCATTAATTTTAAAAAATATATACATATATTTAACGTCGGTTTAATTAAATTCAAGTTAACCGAATTTTCTTCATTTCTCTTGATTTAATAAAATTTCAATTAAAAATAAGTTTGTATTTAATTGTAGAAAACATTTCTTGTAATGGAGCTACTAATATTATAAGATTAAGTATTCCAAACCAGATAGGTAAATATTGAATGCGATCCTGGACAAAGTAGCTAAACCCCCCATTGTTGAACTTTACACAGCCGAGTCAATAAGAACTTAACTTTTGCTTTCCATACGTTTGCGCAGCGGGTTCGTGCACGCATGGATGTGAATAACTGTTCTTGGTTGCGTACTTCGTGTTTGGAGTGAAAGTTTAAATAGAATATTTATAAATAAGGAATTTCAATGACAAACTGAAGGATCCTCAGAGGAATTTCCAAAATTGTTTTTGTTTGCTGTTATGTTTACCTTACATTATTTTTAGTTTTACTATACATGGCTCATTGCAGTTACGTTTTAAATAAATATTTACAGTAAAATTCATATAAAAGATAAATCACTAGGTATTATTTATCGATTAACAATTTATTATTTATTAATTTTAGATATTTTATACATGACATTTTGAGCTGGATTTCTTTTGATATTGTTTGTTTTAATCTTATCAAATTTACCCACAGGCTAATGTTGTTAAGATTTTCAAATTCGAAACCATCAATTTTATAAGTTATAAATTTATACTTTAAATATTTATAGTGATGGAACTACTGATTAAATAAAATATCATAGCAAAAATGTCTTGGACAGATCAATCAATTATTTATATTTCAAAAAAGTAATGGATCATGATAGAAAAACAACACACGCAATAATTATGTATAAAGGATAATAAATAATTAAATTTATGTAAAGTAATATATTAATTTCAACTCATTTTATCTTAAAAACAGATAATGAAATGTCATTGAGTTGTAAAAAACAAATAAATAGTATGATTTAATGGTAAAAATAATTATAATAATTTATTGCGTTGTTACGTAAAAATGTATCTTTTATGACTGAAATCAATATTTTTAATAAATAGTAACCAAACTTATTAGTGTTGTTTCTGTTATAAATTTAATTATCTTTTTTTAACGTTTTCAGTTTCAACTGATTTTATAATATTTGTTGATTTTAAATTATTCTGGATGAAATATTTTTTTAGAATTGTATTTTTTTTCTCCTTTTTTTATTTATCTGTAATTTTTTTTTGGTGCGTTGTGGAATATTTTTTCATTCAATTTTTTTTATTTGAATACTATGACGGTTTTTACTTCGAAAAATATTTAAATCACAAAAGATAAGCCACGACTCACACAGAAATTTCCATTGAATTCGTGGAAATAATTTTTAATAAAACAGTATCAAAATAAGAAACCGTTTATAGCAGAGTAAACAAATGGATGAGTAGATATCATTTGTTGTTTACTATTATATCTCAGTACTATCAGGAAATATTAAAAAAAATTAATTATCGTTATTTATTTCAAAGATTAGATAAAAGTAAATTGATTTTGTTTTGATTACTCATCCGTTTTCTTGTGTTATCTTCATTTTCTTTTAGTTTTATTTATTTATTGTTTTTCTATCGGATTGAACAAATTTGTGTACAAAATACTTATGAAATAGATCAATTAGGTTGAATACGATCTATTAAAGCCATTTGGAAAAATCATACTATACTCAAATAACTATCTTCTATTAAATTGTTAACGAAATTTACTAACAAACAATCAAAATTCTTTATTGACTATCAAAAACAATCAACTTCACAAACATAATCAGACCCATTGAGGCGAACTAGAGTGCGGTTCAAGGAACTAATCAAATTCTTTTAGCAAATACTCTTAGAAGCTCATTAATATTTCCAATCAATTTTTGATAGAGCTTAGATGCGCCTGAAAAAAACATGGTCTCCTGACCTTTCCGCATGAAGCGATGATCGGAAATTAATGAACAAAATATATTTATCACATGTATATAATAACAAAACATACATTTAAATATATAGATATTTACACCAATATATTATTTTATTGTTATGTTTACATTATTTGTTTAACTAATAACATAAAAATATTTTTTTAAATATGTGCATTAATAATTATGACATACGTTTTTAATTTTATTTTTTTTCACATAAGTGTGAATTTGTTTTATTTATTTTCATTAGGATTTAATCTGTTATTTTATTTATCTTGTATATTACTTTATATTTTTTTCTGCTATGGTTATTTATATTTATTTCCCTTTCTTATGTACATATTGTGTGAATGAATACTATAGCCCTAGTAGCAATGCCCTTCAGTGTGGCAGACTGTATTAATACTCAATAAAATCATTTAAAAAATTATATATTTTTAAAAATATATACATATTGAAAAACGACAATTAAATTTATGATGATCAAATTATGAATATAACGATACAAAATACATGTAAATAAGATTTTTAAGTCAATGACAAATATTACTTATTTTTTCATAAGTATATAGTTTAATATATGAACAGTGATTTAATATAAATTATTAAACCTTAATATTAATTACAGTAAGCAGACTGGATTCAATTTTGGAGGGTTTCAGGCCCAAAGATTTTTTAAATATATATAACTATAATTTTTTTTTTTTTTTTTTTTTTTTTTTGTATTCGCCTCGACCCTTGGCGGTTATTCTTAATTTTTATATTTTACTGTAGTGATTTGTTTCCAATAAATATTCGAAGAGAATGACGATATTTGCCTCATTGTCTTCCAAAATATCTTTCAATGTTGTCGAAAGCTTTAGTTTTTGTCTCTCTTTCTTATATAGGGGGCACTCTAATAGTAAATGCTTGACTGATTATAAAAAAAACAAAAAAAAAAACTATAATCACTTTGGAAGAAAAATAAAGAAACTTAAATGACTCTTAAAGCCTCATTAAAGGAATAAAATAAAAAATGTAATTACACGAACAATAATACTTTTAAAGATAATTTTTTTCATTCCTGATTATATTTTGTAGCTGTATATGTATTATAATTTCAAAAAGAGATAAATGTAACTTAGATCTCTTACAGTAACAATTATGAACCAGTGAAAAAAAAAAATACATATATATCCATTTTGGAGGCTTTGAACCAAAAGTCTCCTCCTCCCCCCTATACCCCAATAATTACTGGTAAATAGTATACAGATGCCTGAAATTTATAATGAGTGTATAATCACATAAAAAATGGAAAAGGTGTTTCTAAAGGTCAAAATAAGTGAAATAAATGGTTTAATCATGAAGGTGGATCATTAAAAATTTCACCTAACATAAATCATCATTATACCAAAAAATCATCCCCGATAATAATAATCCTCGTGTTTTGAGATCAACTTCGATTTTTATCAATGGCTGTCTGCACTCGTAGTAAAACCGTTATCAGTTTAACTAATCTTTAGATTACATTACAATAGGCCACTCGACGATGTTTACTTTGGAAAAAAAATCATTTTATAAAAATTATTTTGTTATGATTAATTATTTTGAGTAAATATATATACTTATGTAATAGTAGGTTATGAATTACTGCTCTTACTGCTGATATTAAGGTACTTAAATTGAGTAGAAAAAATATGTTATTTTAAAATAAAATATACTGTTTGTAATTACATTAAAATATATCACATATTAATATTATTTTTTTCGCACATTAATGCCTAGAATAGTTTTTAAAATTATTTTTTTAAAAAATTTCTAGATTCGTTTGGATATTACACAATTATTTTTAAGAGATAATTTGTTAATTATATCATTTTTTCAATAGATAATTATTACACTTTATCTAATATTCAATTTAATTTAATACATCTATAATGTAAACATTCCAGAATGAGGAAGTAACAAAACCTATGACTGTGACAGAAAATATATTCGGTTAAATGATAAACATAATTTTTAAAAAATGTTTTGAATTATTAATATGAAATTTGTATTCAGTTATCACATGAATTACACATGCGATACAAATTAATTTTAGGTTACTAGGCGTTAAAGATAAAGTATAATTAATTTAATATTCATGTTATTTGGAGATAATTTATTGAAATATTAAATATTGACTCACCTTCATGAGGGCCATTCTCTGATCGTCGGATAGATCGCGAACTACAACCTGCGGCATGGCGAGCGGTAACCACTTCTACAACAGCTGATGGTCAACTGACGGGGCTGCTTCGGTGTATCGACTTGTCGGGTCGCTCACGGAGTTGGCCGAAGGTAACCGAACAAAGTTTTCAATTTCATATTTGATTGCCACATCGTCAATTATAATTTCTAGTTAATTTTATAAATTACTTCGTTGTTAAAACGAGCCAAAGTTATTTTTAAATAATAAAATAAAGGGCTTCTCGTACTTAAAGATTTCACGCCGAAAATTGCATTTCTTACCCACAGATTTTACTCCAATCAATTCCATCACAATTTAAATCTTCAAGTTCTCTCTAAACAAAATCTTCCCATTTATGTTACGGACGACTCTCTAGGATACTTACCGATCAGATTACTATTTGTTATCCTTTTCACTGGCGGGACCATGGGGAGCTTTCGGGCAGAAGGACCCCCAAAAAATATTATTGTTTGTTGTTTTTGTATCGCAACGTTGTAAGTGTAACGCACATACAGCTGCAAAATGTAAGCCCGTGTCAAGAAGCTAAATTATCTCTAAAAGCATTCCCGTAACAGTAATTACGTTACAGGATACAGTAATTATATACAGGATACATTACAGCCATTATAATTGGTTTGTTTTCTTTTTTCAAGTAGGGCTCAACACATCTTAAATATCATTATATATTTTTTTTTTCTTTTGTTTCTTCTAGAGTTATTACAATTACAATTATAATAAAAACCTTCCTCCAAAATGAAATACTGAACCCGCTACAGATCCTTTTTGTAATTCCTTCATTATTCGTTCCGACTACTTTACACTCGTGTTTAATTCACTAAGATCCTATCGCCTCAATCATGATTTACCGGTCGCAATTCTCGCTATTCGGCATTGCTTAGTCGTGTAAACTCTTTTATTGACCATTCTTCTTTAATTTAATTAAGTTTTTGAGTTCTACCAATGGGTAGTTTTTCTTCATGCTGTACATGTTATGTTACCAATGTCACATTTACTTATTGTATTTTCCATGTAATACAGTTGTAAATCTCAATAAAATAAAATTAAAAAAAAATTAACTTTAAGGTGTTGTTCTGTCATTAATACAAGCGCCACGTTTAATAAAAATTAATTTTGAATTTTTTTTATAACACTAATTAGGTTAATCCATTAGTCGCTTGACCACTTCAACAAGAAATTATACTCCATTGGCTAAAGTTTTAAGAGTTAAAAAACAATTTTTTTAAAACATGTTCATAATATCCGGTTCTCAAACGACGATCATTCTTTTTTTCTTCAGGTTTTTAGTCTTTTCGCAGACTTGTACAGTTTTCTAAATTACTTAACACTGGAATGTTTTAAGACTTTCGTAATAACTGCATTTCGTTCAGTGCATTCTGTCCTACAAACCAAAATCCTGTTTCCCCTCCAAACAATTTTCTATTTATATCATATTTATTGCCAAATTTATCAACAAAAAAATTTATAAAGAAGAAACCATATTCGTCTCAGTTTTTTGTGTTGGTATAAACATATATTTGAGTACTTATGTTATGTAAAATATACCGTATCATTAACGGATCCAGGATTTAATTTTTTAGGGGGCTTCAGCCCGAAAGATTTTTTTTGTGTAAATATATTAGGATAATTATTTCGGAAGAAAAAAAAGAAAATACTTATATAAAATGGCCTTTAAGTCATATTAACAAAAATACTTTTAGAGATAATTTTTTTCATAAAACATAATTATATTTTACCATTTTGGAGGGAGGGGCTTCACCCCGAAAGCCCCCCTCCTCCCGTAGATCCGCCTGTGTGCCTTATAGTCTTTAAAGCCAACAGAAAAAAAAAATGTATAAAAGCACATAGCTTGCAAATAAACTGTTAGCTATAATATAATCATATACTCAGCTTAATTAGCAGGTTGAGCAAACTTACGATGTAGATGTAACACAACTTTACAAGTTATGCAATCACATTTCCAGAAATATACCTAATATTAGAAAAAAAAATGATTTGCGACATTGCGCAGTACTTTAGCTCTTTTGAAGTACTAGAATTTGAAGAAGGTGGGTAAGTGACTTTGCTAATAAGCTACGAAAGGATCTTTTCACTTTTCAACTCGGTTAATTACAATACTGAAACAGGGAAAGGTGCGATCCTACATTCTCGACAAGTCATCAATATCAACCGATGGGTGCTTCCCCTTTGAAACTTAATTACATGAATACAAACCACTTTCACAGTTCGCTTCCTCGTTTCGAGGATTTTCTAATGTTTATATTAATATAGATGAAGTTTAAGTTAACTATGCATACCTGTCCAGCAAACATCTAACTGTTTCGACAAAGTCTGTTCCCCTACAAAGGAAAATCTTGGATTCAGTACTTTGTAAGGAAGTACTGTTTCAAGGCCAACGGTTGTGCAGGGTTCTGATTGGGCTGAGGTCACGCTTAACTGTCAGGTTTTCTCTAATTTAGTTATTTAATTTAGAGTGCCAAATTTAAAAAGGCTGCGTGAGCCCTAGACGAGTTTCCTGATCTCAGGTTCGATCCACTGCTGCCGAAACAGAACATTACATACAACCAAATATGATTATCTGCTACTATCAGACTCGAATCTGGGACTTAAACAGTAGAAAGTCAGTGCCTTACTCTCTTCTTTCATTAATGAAAAAAAAATGCACGGAGTAGGTAGAAATTTATTGAAACTAAGGCATGTTATACTGAATAAAAGTAACACCCTTAAAGTTTGTTTTGCTTTAATTTGGATTATAAAAGCCGATGTAGAATTATAAAAATTGAGGTTTACATACAATTGCACTCACCGTGATCTATTCCGTTTATCCTGGTTTGAAAGTTCCTCCAAATTGAAATCCCTTTATTTATTTGTTTACAACTGTCTTCCTCATCATTCTGCTAAACGGGTTTAACAGAATTGTCATCTAACACAAACTGCATATGTTATCCTCACTGGTAAACTTAATGTTAAATGTTATTAATTAATTATTAATTATTTATCAGGAGTGTGATCATCTAGATGATTTCCGCTACGAAGGGCCTGGGGCATAAGGGATCGATATCATCCCTATTGTTCTGGAGCTTAGCACGAAACACCACATGCTCTATGAACTGATGCCAGTCATTCTGGAGAACCTATTTTGCTGCTAGACCTAACTTGTATTTCCGCAGGGCTTCACCTTTGTCATCTATCGCCAGGATCATTCATCCATAGTATGTGTGAATCGGTGAGTGCAGAAACCACTTAAGTCACAAATTTCAATTTTTTCAGGAGAGAGAAAAAATGTCATAACTTTTCTAAACTTTCAAATATTTGAACTTTTTCCTCCCTCTGTCATAACATGCATTTATGTTCCTGTCATGCAAAAGTTACATAATTTCGACATAAATTAGGCTCAGAAAAATTTAAAATTTGATTCGGACTTATACTGTTTCTGCACTAAACTTTTTTTTACAGACAGCTGAAAGCTTGGAAAAAGATAACTATTCATTAAAATTTTATATTTTTTAATTATCAACTTATTTTATAACAATTTATAATAATTTTACAATTTAATTTATTTATATTAATTTTAATTTAATTTATTTTACAACAATGTTAAGCATTTATATTTGTTCATATTATATCGAAAATGAAGTTATAGTATTGCAATGTCATCATAAAAAAGGAAAATAACAAAGATAAACGCCCATAAAGATCTTTCTCAACGATTTTATCATTGTCACGTGCTGTGGTTGGCCAGGTAAATAGTTCATCATAAAAAACTTTGAAGTTGTCATTTATATTTATATTCATAACTACCATAAATATAAATAGTATTCGTATTTATATTTTTGAATATAAATACTAGTCATGCAATCCAATGGTGGGTGCAGAAACCACGTCAGTCACTGACTCATGTTATTTCTGTGCTAAACGTTCGAAAAAGACGTCATATATTTGTGGAACTACTCAACTGACTAACGTAGTTCTTGCTCTCAACACGCATCTTGCCTTTCTATGCTTCTTTTCATTGAAAACAATTTTTCCCTTTTTTTTTTTTTTTTTTTACTGAAGTGATTTCTACACTCATCAATTCGATTACTAATAATATATTTTTAATTCTCAGATAAAACTGGAACTTCATAAAAAATTCATTATTCCGCCTAAATGTCTCCTATCCTTACAAAAATTCAAAACTGCAATAATGTACCCCCTCAAAAAATTCATGATTTAAACTTAATCATTATGATTTACTTAATCATGACTGATCATGAAAGATATTACCTATGAATTTTTCACTTTCTGTTTATGTATTAAAGTTATTTTATCAGATTTAGTAGACATGTTCTAGTGAATTCATAACGCGGACAAAGGACTGTGACAAAATATATTTATTTAAACGTTCTTTTTTGAAATAATTTAAAACGTATAAATATGAACAGGGGTGCTCATCTCTTTCCCTCCTTTCCCAAGGTCGATAGCAAAATAACCTAAAACAAACCTCCTACTCCTTTCGGAATTAAAAAAATCGTAGATCATATACAATTGAATCGGTGAGTGCAGAAACTACTTCAGTCAAAAAAAAATGCGAAAAATGGTTTTCGATCAAAAGAAGCTTAGAAAGGCAAGATGCGTGTTGAGTGCAAGAACCACGTTAGTCTGTTCAGTAGTTCCGTAAATACATGACTTCTTTTTTGTCATTTAACCCGTCAGAATATGTCTCCTCAAAAATTTTGATGGGCACATAAAACTCCACTGAATATCAATAAAGAAAGATATGGAAACAAGTTTTTCTTTAAGTTCAAGTTTATAGGGGAAAAAAATCCGCTTCTCTTTGTCTTTGTTGAAGAAACAGGAACATTAATTCATTGCAGTTTATCCCATAATAGGACAATGACAACCGAGTTCCGTATTATCTTCTGTAAAAGTTAGTCATTTGTCATCGCCACGATTACTGGTCACGTGACTCGAACTTGCCTATTCATACTTCGTAACTATATGCGCTAGCATGCATATTTAGGTGTTCCTAGATGAATCATT